AGATAACACAGCACAGCCCAGATTTAGTATATTTTAAAGAGGGTGAGGATGGGACCTCAGTGTCTGTCCATTGATTTCAAATTGACTTGTATTGTATGACTTCGGAGTGTTTCAAAGTAAGTGAATGGAATATTCCAAATAGGGCCAACTCAGGGGACAAGGTAATCCCAAGTCTAGTTGTAGAATATATGAAGTCAAATATGTCTTTCCAAAAACATGTGAGTGCCTTACAGGATTAGACGCTATTCAGATCTGCCACTGCACATCCACTCTTGTAACACGTGTTAGTAGCCAGGATCCTAACTTGAATTGATTGTCAGGAGATTAATATGCCTGTGAGCAATTTTTAGATACATCTTCTGATAGATTGCCGCAGGGAATAGCCTACAGAGTTTCAAATTAGCTGTTAATATATCTTCAGGTTCCGGAGAATCAGTATGCACCATGTATGGAGTTAATCGGCATAGGCAGTGAGTTGTTGGATGGAAGCAAATAATAAGCCAGAGGGGGGATGGACTGGTGCACTGTGGTTTGCAAAATGATCAGTGAAGCATATTGGAAGCACAAGTTTGAATTTGGAGATAGAACATTTTCCATTTACAACTACTCTCTGCATTCTATCTTTAAGCCAGTGTTCTATCCAAGAACACGATTTTTCCTCTAAAGCAACTGATTTCAGTTTTATTAGTAACCTTTTATGTGGAACTGTATCATATGCCTGGGCAAAATCCAAGCAGATAACATATACTAGAACACCACAATCTATATTTCTACTAACTTCTTCATAGAATGCAATTGAGTTAGTTTAACATGCGCTGTCTTTCATAAAGCCGTGTTGATTTTTGCTAATGATATTTTTGTTTAAAATTATTTTTTTGTATTAACCCTTAACATCCCTTTAAATAATTTCCCAACCACGGATGTAAAGCTCACGGTAGTTTCCAGGTTGTGATTTTGTGACTCACACAGGCTGCATGAGAACAAAGTGATTTAATTTTCAATCAGATGTAAATGTAGAAGTTATTATCTCCTGCACTGTAAATTGATCTTTAATAACATACAGAAGGCTCCTGCAGGATCTAGCAAGCTGTGGACAGATCAGGAGATAAAAAAAAAATCTAAATTAAATGGAATTTGCAATAAAGGAAGTGTAAACATTAGATGACTCTCTACAGGAAGTGTTTAGGCTGTGTAGGTCACATGGAGGTTGGTGTGACTAGGGCTGTTTAAGCAAAGTGATTTAACTCCTAAATGGCAGATATTTGAGCAGTGAGACTGCAGGGGCATTATCTATACAACAAAACTGCTTCATTAAGTTAAAGTTGCTTTGACCATAGTGTCCGTTTCAAGGGATTCTATAATGCCAGGAAAACAAACTGCAATAATTACCACGGCAGGGTTAAGGTTGATGGGAGTTTGCACCCAGACCATATCAATGAGCTAAAGTGGTCTGGGTGCCTACAGTGTCCCTTTAAGTGCTTTTGTATGCCTATATACTTATTCTTTTTTTTAGTTAATCTCAAATGATACCATATTATGGTCACTATTTTCCATGAGCTCCCTAACTTGAATGTTTGAAAATAAGTCAACATTATTAGTTATGACAAGATCCAGACAAGCATCTCTTCTAGTTGGTGCCTATACTAATTGAGACATGAAATTATTGTTTATCAGATTTAAGAACCTGTTTCCCTTAACTGTACTACTAGTCCCTCTGGCCCAATCAATGTCTGGATAATTAAAATTTTCCACGATTAACAAATTATCCAGTTGTGCAGCCTTATAAATTAGAGATAGCAGTTGCTCTTCCCCATCAGTATTAATGGTTGCTGGCTTGTAATATATATCCCTACTATTAATGGATGTCCCCTGTTTCCCGCTATGCATATTTCTACTCATAAGACCTCCACATCAGCACCCGTATCATCTCATCCAATTTAATATTTGGCATCAAAACAAGTTTAATATAAAGAAATACCCCATCCCCTTTTCTGTTTTTCTAAATGTTTTTCCACTTAAATTAATAGCCCAATCAAGTGTCTCATCCCACCAAGTATCTGTAATCCAAAATTATGCCATATTGCTCTTTGTATGCCAATATCCCCTTTTCCTACACAATCTTCTTGCATTAGCAAGCAGACATTTAAAATTACCATTTGTTTCTTGAACTGTATTTGAACAACATGTAATAAATATCTTTGTGCTTTCTCTGCTAATCTCACCACTCCTCCTATCTCCACCCTCATTGACTTTAGCTGAATTCCATATTTTTTCTATACTATCTACCACATTTACCCCACTTTGACCTTCTCCCCTCCTCTACCTCCAACCTTCTAGCCATCCTCTTCCCCAGCAAAAAAAGACCCTTTTCAATTTAGGTGCTATCTCAGCTATAAATATTGTACCTAAGTGTAAAATTGGCCCAGTGTCTAAAAAGCTAAAACCCTTCTTCCTTCCCTCAACCGTAGGGAGCAGCACATGTAATATCTCAGAAAATACCACCTTGGAGGTCCTTTTATTAAGCTTACTATCTAATTCCCTGAACTCATTCTTTAAGGTCCTTCATCGCCCTCTAACTTTCTCATTGGTACCAATATGAACCACGACAGCCAGGTCATTCCCAGCCTCTGCCAATAATCCATCCAGTGTTTCAGCAACATTCTGGACCTGAGCAAACTGGCCAATTGAGAAGATCAGAGAGGTAGATTAATAATAGAATCCTTTACAACCACAATCTGCCTGGTCATTCCTCCATTCTGGATGCCATTGGCTTTCCCCGTGGCTGTTAAAAGAAGCAGCTTCCTCCAGCACAGTCACTCTTGAGCTGATACTCATGATAAATTCACTCAGGTGGGCAAATCTGCTGGGCTGTTCACAGTTTACCTTTGACCTCGTATTTTTATGCTTACTCTGTTGATTTGGAGACATTCTGCCTATCTTTGCTTTGCTTTAGTCTGGCCACTCTTAGGATCAGTACCCTCTTCTGTCCTCTCTTTTGACTTAACTTAGGTTTTTAGTATACAGTCTAGGGGTTCACATATTTTTTCCACCTGCACTGTGAATGTTTACATGGTGTGTTCAATAAAAACATGGCAACAGTTCATGTGTATTATTAGTTTAGGCAGACTGTGATTGTCTATTGTTGTGACTTAGATGATGACCAGATCACATTTTATGACCAATTTGTGCAGAAGTCCATATCATTCCAAAGGGTTCATACTTTTTCTTGCAACTGTATGTCAGCTGCAGAATGGGTCACTGAACTATTTTTACAAATGAACAATGATACAATGTTTGGGTCATTGTCACAAAGAACCACTGGTCTTTGATGTACTGGTTTATTTAAATAGCTTAATATTTTAATGTGTATTGAGAACGTTCATAATAACACAGAGTAGCCATTAATAGTACTGAGAAAGTGTGTTAGTGCTACCTTAAACCAGAGGCGTACCAAATTTACATGGCATCCTAAAAACCAAAATTTTATATTGGCACCCCCACCAACTTTAGATTTACTTATTTTTGTCTATATGCAATGCTTCAATTAACCTTTTGTTAGGGAAATTACAAACGCACACACAGTAACATTTCCATACACACACATACACGCACACATATGAATACATATACTCAAATTTATATAAACACATGCTTATTTACTCACACCGTCATATTTATTTGCACACACATACTCACATTCTAACACTCAAACGTTTGATTTTTATTTGGCTCATCGTCCCTGGTGTCTTGCAATTTTTTAAGCTGGAAATCGAGGGACATTGGCGCTGGGTCGGTGCTCCATCTCCAGGATGCTGGCAATCAAGGCAGAGTCGCAAAGAAAAAGCCATTTCTCAGAATGGTTAATAAAAAAAAAATATTAAGATGGGCAAAAGAACACAAGTCCCCGGACAAAGGCAGATTGGAAAAAAAAGTGTTATGGACAGACGAAGTTTGAGGTGTTCTGATCAAGAAAAACATTTGTGGGATGCAGACCAAGGAAAAGATGCTGGAGGTGTGCTTGACGTCATCTGTCAAGCATGGTGGAGGCAATGTGATGGACTCGGGGTACTTTGGAGTTGGTAAAAATTGAGATTTATAAAATGTACAAGGGAAGGCTATCACTCGATTTTGCAATTCCATACCATTCCCTGTGGATGGTGCTTTATTGGAGCCACTTTCCTCCTACAACAGGACCATGACTCAAAGCTCCAAACTAAACAAGAACTATGTAGGGAAAAAACAGCTGGATGGTATTTTCTTTAATGGAGTGGCCAGCACAGTCACCAGATCTCAATCCTATTGAGTTGTTGTTGGAACAGCTTTACCATATGGTTTGTAAGAATGGTAGGAAAATGCACCTGTGTACTGCGAGATATATGCATAATATTTATATACAGTGATTAGCCAAACTGTTAACTGAACAACGTTGGAAGCCCCAAATGAAATTTCATTTTCAGAAAGAATGATCCGAACTGAATTATTTCTGCGGTGCACAAGTCTACCTTGAACATACTAAATATAAACTTTTAAAACCATCTTTTTAGTATTTAATTGTGTAGCAACAAATGCATGACCATACTATGTAATTATTGTTCTATAACTCTCACAAACCACAGAAGATGGTTCCATTGTAGTTCCGTTGTATAAACATTAGAAGACTCACACTTTGGAGTTTATAGTAGGGACTCTGCCAATTTAAAATAAGCTGGTAACGGGATATTATTTGCTGTAGAGGAAGTCAAAGTGCAAAATGTATAAAATTTTAAAACCATTGGAATAATTGTTGAATATCCAATCAAATCTTTAATTTCATAGATAGAGTTCACAAAAATATACACTTGTTGCTTTTTTGACATACTATCACCCCTGCTTCATCTCTCCTGTTACAATGATGGCATCTAATGTGTAATTCGTTTTGATCTATTAGGAGATAATAATCTGTGCCTTCTGATGACACATGTCATCCGTTTTTCAGTACTAGGAAGCCCATCAGAGGTTAGGAGTTGTTAAAGCAATGACACCTAGACGTATAAATGCACGGAAAGACTTGAAAATAGTGCAAGTATTTGTTTAAAAAAAATTATTAATTTTGTGTCTATGTACATTCTCCGCAGGAAGGAATGTGCTTCTTTTAAGGACACATGTCATAGTCAGCGAAAAAGGGAACAACTTTATTTAGTGGAAACACATTGAAATGCGTTGCATGAACCTTTGATGGGTGTTGTCTGCCAACAAGCGTAATCAGAGAATGATGTGAATCGTAGCCCCCCAAGCTTATTTTGATTTAGTGTTATTTTCTAGGGTTTTATACACTTTAGAGGATATAACAAATAAATTATAAACGCTAACTGCTGTTTTCCTGAATTTATTTTTGTCTGAAGGAAATCCCTTTCTCTGCTTTACACTTGATCATCACGCAGATGTTCTGTAAAGTGGCACAATTTAATCACACTTGTTCAGTACAATTGTCTAAATGCCAGTCTAATAGTCTATATAAGGAGTAGGCAACCTTCGGCACTCCAGATGTTGTGGACTACGTCCCCCATAATGCTCTTACACTCATAATGCTGGCAAAGCATCATGGAAAATGTAGTCCATAACATCTGGAGTGCCAAAGGCTGCCTACGCCTGGTCTAGATCTATATGTGATGAGAAATATTCGGTACTTGTATCTGTGCACATCAAACGCACCATTGTTTTTCTACAATTTTTGGAAAACCATCAAAAAGACAATTAATTTTTTTCTACGTTTCCATAGAGTAGGACTTCCTGTTCAGTTTAACCTCATTACCTTCTTTCACTCCTTTTTGATACTTTGAAACAATGGACGTCAATATCACTAAGTAAACAAGTAATACATTTCAATTGCACTTAATGAACTGCGAATGTCAATTATGGGGTAAAGGTTCAGTGTTTCTTTTTTTTTCTTGCGCTTTGATTACATTTTCTGAAATTAGTCACAATTCCCACCAGGTCTCTGTTATTTGAAAGTAAACTTGCTGTCTAAGTGTTTCTGCGGATGTTATCGACGCGTTTAGCTGGTAAACCTGCTAGTAGAAGAACCGAGGGGAAATATCCGCTGCCACAATGTAATCAACTCAGATGCAAATTATATCATGGACCAAAAAAATGCTACAATGCCTATGAGACTATATTGATGACATGAAGTTAAACCAATTTTTTTCTTGTGCATACATTTGCTAACAATTCACCTAGCATGAGTGAATATACACGAACACATTCGTTGTGCGTGATTTAAATTCCTATTAGATGACATTTACTTTTAAAAACCATAGAACTGCAGTGCAGTTATTTGAAACTTAACTCCCGATTCCACTTATCACACTTCTGTTCAGGCTTCTAGAATTGTGACAACACCCTTCATCTTTCACGTGTACACCAGCTACTCTTTTTATTAGCCATCATTATTTATTATTGACCCTTCGTTGTTCCATATGTGATGCATGCGCCACAATCCTCATGTTTTCAAGCAATAGTTTAGTTTACTTCCTGCGTAATCCACCCACCAATGATGTTCTCAATATTACCCAGAGGAACAAGAGGAGTGCAGGGTATATGTAAACATAATTAAGAACAGCAGAATAACTTTACAAGAGTATCACTGAACAGGTACAAATTTGCCACTTCCCACCGTACAAGAAGACTGTTAGATTTGCATTATTATTACATTTTTTTGCTTGCACATGTAGATATATATATTTGTTTGTTTTTTTTTAAATATATTCAGTTCAAACCCATATACATTTGAAATCTTCCCATTGACGGTCATTGGACTTCGTTTTTTTGAGAGAGCACAAGTTTTTTAGTTTTTTTTTTTTTTTGGTCTGCTCTGGAATACACAACATCAAATATTAAGAAGTGACCATAACAAAAGCAGCATATTGTGTATAGCACTCACGAGGACTGAACCCAACTGTCCACAGTAAAATAAAATATTTTTTATAGGCTCCCTAACTATCAAAAGACTGGAGCTTTGCAGTTAGAGATGGTCTGTTTAAGTTGTGGTGAATATTTAATTAAATAATTTTTTTTTGCTGTTTGGAGGTCACCTGGAGTTGTCTCCATCCAGCAAGTCTCTGCATCAAAACTAGGACACTGTAACATGGCACCAAGGATCCTCTTCTGCTAAAGAGGAAAGCCAGATGTTTTAGGCTGTAGTCTAGTTCAGGGTGGTTTCATTTGCACCATCCAACACATACACACAGTGCTGGTCAAACACAGCTAAATGGTCAGTAGCCAGCCAATACTGAGGATCTATCGATAGGGAATGTACAGTGTCAGTTTGCTTACAAAAGTGAGCTTCTTGTCCCTGTATTGGCTTAGCTCCATGTCTATAGTATGTGTATCTCTTTGCCATAAGGAACTGTTCCTATTCTCACCATATTTAGGGCAACTTGTTGTGGCTAGGAGGGTGCTGTCCATACCAGTACAGTTTTTCCTCCACACTTTTTTTTCTCCAGCGGCATAGCAGCAACATTTTGAATGTCTTTCGGAAGGTTTTGTTGCACAAAGCATAACAGATGGGATTGACAGTGCTGTTAACATAGCACAACCAGTAGCCCAGGTGCCAAAGAGAAGATGGGATGCAGTTGGAACAGAAGGTTGATACCAGAACCATGATATTGTAAGGTGTCCAGGTGATGATAAAGGCCAAAAGAATAGCACTTAGTGTCTGTGCTGCCTTGCGTTCCTTGATAAGAACCATCCTCTTGCGCTTGGTGATCTGATTACTGATGTTGGGGTCCATGCTTCGCAAAGAGTGACCCTTGGACATTGAGGAGCATGGTGTGATTTTAACTTTCCTGCACCCGTTATTGACCTCCTGGGAGCCGTCATCATTTACTACGATCCTGAACTTATATGAGAGACACTTTTGGCTCTTCTGCGAGTGACTTTTACCTGGGGTCAAAAAGAAACGCTCATTATCATAATCATTTATGACTGGCTGCTCTTTAGTAAGGATTTGCTTGGTTTCTTCTTCCTTTTCAGTTGCAGTTTGATTCTGGTAGACACCCTGGAAGACCGCTTCTTTGACTTGCTTCTCATCATCATCTGATGAAGGGTAGCTGCTGCAAGTGGTCAACTGGTCCTCTTTGACCCACTCATTGCAGATGTTGGGGCTCTGGGATATCTTCATCGTTGCAGTGGTGCTACGACTAGATGAAGACCATGATGCCTGGCACCTCTCTCTCTTGGTGAGGGTCTGCTGCTTGCAGCTGAAGCAGGACTTTAACAGGGCACCCTGAGGCCTCATCATTTCGAAGTCTGCCACGGACTCCGAACCCTGCAACTCTGCCAGGTCTTTGGTGCGCTTCTCTGTCTCCTTGTAAATGCGGCAGTATAAAATGGTCATAACAGACACCGGGATGTAGAAAGCAGCAATGGCCGTCCCAAAAGTAATTATAGGTTCGTAGAGGAACTGGATCTGACATTCATTTGGTGGCACTGTACGTTCTCCCACAAAGTACTGCCAACATAGAATAACTGGAGCCCACAAAATAAAGGATATAAACCAGGCAAGCCCAATCATGATACCAGCCCTCTTAGGTGTGCGTTTAGCTCTGTAGGTTAAGGGTCTTGTTATAGAAAAGTATCTGTCAAAGCTAATTACAAGCAAGTTCATTACAGAGGCATTGCTCGCTACATAATCTAGGGCGAGCCACAAGTCACAGGCAAGGCTGCCCAGGGACCAATGACCATTTATGATATAAGATGTATACAGGTTCATGGAGAATATGCCAATAATGAGATCAGCACAAGCCAGGCTCAGCAGGTAATAATTGTTGACTGTCTTGAGTTGACTGTTCACTTTGAAGGAAACCATAACGAGGATATTACCCACAATTGTCACTAGGCTCACCACGGCACTGACTGTGGCAATGGGAATGATTTCCCACAGGCTCAGTGTCGCTGTCTCATTGAGATGGTTTATTAATGTGGAGTTTGGTTCCATATTCTTGCTTTCCGGGAGGAATCCTAAAGACACAGGCCCCTTCAATCAACAGCAAAGGATCTGAAATGAGAAAGATATGTTAGTGGTCAGGAAAACACGATACTTTGCTACAACTATTTTTCTGAAGGAATAAAGAACTAATTTAAAAGAAGAAAAACTACCACAACAAGAGGACATAGTCTTAAATTAGAGGGACAAAGGTTTAAAAATAATATCAGGAAGTATAACTTTACTGAGAGGGTAGTGGATGCTTGGAATAGCCTTCCAGCTGAAGTGGTAGAGGTTAACACAGTAAAGGAGTTTGAGCATGCGTGGGATAGGCATAAGGCTATCCTAACTATAAGATAAGACTAGGGACTAATGAAATTATTTAGAAAATTGGGCAGACTAGATGGGCCGAATGGGTCTTATCTGCTGTTACATTCTGTTTCTTTGTGATTCAGGGTTAGGAAACCCTGAATTTCTCTAGTTAATGTGCGACTTAAAGGGACCAAATTTTTCCCAGATGGACAAAATCTTGTGAAAACAACTGAATGCTGATTGCAATGGAATTCTCATACTCTACTAAAACTATTTCATGTTGCAATCTAGTCAGCCCGAATGTGCAGCAATCGATGTTCGGAGTTCAGATTAAAATCCGTGCTTTCACATCTGAACCCTATACAATGTTTTGGGTGAAAACGTTTTACAAATCACCAATTTAACTAAACTTCTGAATCAAATTGCTTGTATGCAAGTGAATAATAATTTTAAAGTTCCTTTTGCCAGCTGACCGCAATAGCAGCCATTGGGCAAATAGGAAGACCAGCTGCAACATTACAAATTTTAAAAAAAAACTATGAGGGGATCAATAAATTCTCCATGTTAATGTAAGGGAGATTTTAAAGGACCACTATAGTGCCAGGAAAACATACTCGTTTTCCTGGCACTATAGTGCCCTGAGGGTGCCCCCACCCTCAGGGTTCCCCTCCCGCCGGGCTCGATGGAGAGGAAAGGGGTTAAACTTACCTTTTTTCCAGCGCTGGACGGGGAGCTCTCCTCCTCCTCTCCGCCTCCGATCCTCCTCTTTGGCTGAATGCGCATGCGCGGCAAGAGCTGTGCGCGCATTCAGCCGGTCTCATAGGAAAGCATTTACAATGCTTTCCTATGGACGCTTGCGTCTTCTCACTGTGATTTTCACAGTGAGAAGCATGCAAGCGCCTCTAGCGGCTGTCAATGAGACAGCCACTAGAGGATTTAGAGGCTGGATTAACCCATATATAAACATAGCATTTTCTCTGAAACTGCTATGTTTATAAAAAAAAAGGGTTAATCCTAGAGGGACCTGGCACCCAGATCATTTCATTAAGCTGAAGTGGTCTGGGTGCCTAGAGTGGTCCTTTAAGCATTTCTGTGTCCTGCAACCTGCTGCCACTCATGGGTGGGCCCTGCAATGGACACTAAGTCCTCCCCCCCTTAAATAAGCCCCCACCTGATGCCCATGGGTGAGGGGAGGATCATTCCACCGTTAGTTTTGAATAAAATATTTTATAGATATGGCTCCACATGTCGGGTGGCATTAAAATAAATATGGCTGCCCCCTACAATCCTACAATCCTATGTTGCTGAATTTCATCCTGTCTGTCAGAAGACTGCTAATACATATGTTAAAAGTCTAATGGCAGGAAGTGAGAAACATTTAATAGAGGTATTTCACTAACTTTTATGATAGGGTATAATTTCACCGCTCACAGTAGCATGTAAATAAGATAACGCATTCAGAATGTATGACTAATAATGTGGAGGTTAGACAGTAAACAGTAGTTATTAAACCTGTTATATACCAGTATTAATATTTTACAGGAAAAAAAATAATCAGCTTTGTGGCTATTCTAATAGCACTCCTGGGCTCCTAAAGTACCGCTATAACCATTTAATTTAAGGGCACATATGAGCCTGACATTGACTTCTATTTTCATATCCGTTTAATGTTTCGTTATCAGATGTAAACTAGCAGATTATGTTCAAGACACCGCACGCTAATACCAAGATTTGTTTTTCTTCTTTCGATCCGTTATGAAATATGGAATTTGTTTAATGTGATTCTGTCCTATAAATCATGTATTCAAGATTACAACTTGACTGATAGTGTAGCATATGAAACCTTTCAATACAAAACGGGAGTACGAGTTAACCTCGGCCCCAAATACGTTGTCCTTCATGGCGTGACTGTGCTTTCTTTCCTCAACTGTATGATCAAGTAGTCTCATTTCCCCTATAAATACAATTATTCACCAACAAAGATGATCAAAATAAGAAAATAAAACAAATGAACCCTATCCCTTTTATATTATGTCAAGTCGTTTATTGTATATATGTCCATAGATTCCCCGTTCTGCTTTGGTACATTCAATTCTTCCTCACCTGTTGCATTCCACATCTTCCCATCTCCTTTTCATTCCAGAAAACCTTAACAAATGCGTACAATATCGTTGCATCCCACGCATTCCGCTTCTCTGCATCCTGTAGCTATTTAACAATGTATCTCTCTCCTGTGGTCCCTAGACTTATGTCATCCCATGCATTCCACAGGTCTAACACTTTTTTTTAATTTGTAAATCTTTTGGTCATGCATGTGAATACAAGCAAGCGTACAGTGCCACAACAGCAACAGCATTCAGAGCAGGAATTGACATAGGATAACATTGGTATGGCATGTGCTTCACTAGCACATTTTTATATAGAAA